GACTTACATACAGATTCAACTTAAGAACAAACCTACAATCCCTATCTTGTACGTAACCCGGGGACGGCCTGTACTCCTTCCCGCTCCCCTTTCCTGCCTCTCTCTCATAGAGGCAGCAAAGGGCAGGGGGAGGAGGGAGACATCAACTAGTTGACTAGTCAAAAGAATATCCGATAAGCAAATGTTTATTGGATAGTCGACTAGTTTTTTACATCCCAATAGCAGATCATGTATGATTTTTTGGTGGTTCTGCACACATCCTATTATTCATTTGATGTATGTTTTTACTACATGCAAATAATCACAATCTTATTTTTAAATTTCATGTTGGGGAAAGAAGGACTATATGGCAGTATGGAGAGGAATACTGAGAGGAAGAAAAGGAGGAAAGACAGGAAGGAAAAAGAAGGAAAGAGATATGGAGGCTGGTTGACAGCTGAATGTGGTAAGAGATTAGGGGACACAGCACATCAGTTACACAATCAGCAAGTGTAAAAACAGATCAGAATACATATGTTAGAGGGCAAATTCTGATAACACAAGGTCTTTGATTGGGGCGTGGAGGTGTGAGTGAAAGCACGTCCCACATATTCCCTGCTCTACTGCTTGCAGAGCTGGAGTTTTAAGAACACTCCAAAGCTCCCCCTGCTATTTTAATAAGTGTTCAGGGAGATGTGGCTATGAGCCAACCATGTTCCACACCTTCAGATTGGATCAGTCAGGGGATGGGCATTTCAGTTCCCCACTGGTGGGAGCAGAACTCCCTGGTATGAGTTTTATTATGGCTGGAGCAACAGTGGGGAGCCTATTACAGGCTCACACAGAACCTGTGGGGAGGAGCAGAAATTCAAGTGAAGAACACTGCTGCATGAAGGAGGGCTTGCAGAAGCTTCCAGAAACAGAAGCCCTCTGAAGTGTTTGTGAAGACAAGCATACATAAAATTGGACATGTGAGGCAAAGCAATCTAATTGTCACAGAAGGGAAAGCAGTCTGTGCAATAACCGGATGCCAGCCAGGGCAGTCCCCTCAGTAAGCCAGAGAACTGCAGGATTGGCTGGTGTTCTGCAGATGTCCTCAGATAACAAAAGAGCCTCAAATAATAGGGTTCAGGAGCTTAACTGTTCACTGGACTTTTCCTTCACAGCCTAGGTAGCAACTGTCATTTTGTAACTGAAAAAAGCCTTGTCTGCACTGATGGCAGTGTGTAGGTTATGTGTAGCTTTGCACCACAGTGAAAAGCAAGTACATCAACACTGTACTGGGAAGCTACACCATAGTAAAAGGCTCAGTAGGCAGCTTGCAGAGTCCTTCCACAAATGGCTGGCAGTGGTGAAGTGGAGTGCAGCAGGCTGGGAGAGGGCAGTGGAGTAGAAAAGGCCTCTGGGTCCTTTTGGGCTCCTGCTCCTGTGGTTAGGGGAGGGTGACTCCTGCTGCCACCTTGCGCCAGACTCCCTGGTAATCCCTCAAGTCCTGTCACTTTGGGGAGAGTGCTTCAGGCGAGGAGTGCAATGGGAGTGGGAGGGGGTGAAGTAGGGCTTGGAGGAAGGGTAGAGTCTTGAGTGGGGGTAGAGTCTTCGAGGGAGAGGGGGGGTTGCCCTAGGCCCTGCACCTCCCTAGAGACAGCCCTAGGTCATGACCAACATGAGCCTGGGTGAACTCATTAAAATAGGATCACAATTCACTTTGGGGTCCCGACCCACAGTTTGAGAACTCTTGGACTAGAAGATGTCACTGAACAGTCTTCAAGGTGTAAATATCCTCATAATTGCATGGCATTTCCATTGCCACTTGCAATAGCCCCCTAATAGCCTTTTCTTACCCTTTTCATCAACAGAGCTCATCAACCAGGTCAAATCATGTGATGCTTTTGTGATATAAATAATCGGCCATCCCTTTAACTAGTCTAATCAAACTAAAACCGGAACTTAGGCCTTTTAAAATGAAAGGTTAATGCCCTAATTTTACCTTCATTAAGGTTTTGAACCTGAACAAACTAACAAGAATATCAACCATTTAAGGCATGAAAATCCTCAATTATAAGATCAAGTAAGGATAAACTTAAGGAACTTCCCTTTCTGCCCATAGCTTGGCTGGCAAAAAAGAAAAGAATACTATAGGAAGTTAGATATACACACACTTTGCTTTAAAATTCTCCGGGGTAGCTTTGTTAGTCTGTAGCTTAAAAAAAAAAAAGCTTAAAAATGAGTGGTCCCATAGCACTTTAGAAACTATTAAAAATATAGTTAATATCATGAGCTTTTGTGGGCACAACCCACTTCAGATTTTTTTTTTGTTTGCTTTGAAATATTAGAAATCTGCCTCCCCTTCTTTGCCAATTTTTAAATAAAATGAGGAAAGTTTAAATGGTCTAGAATAGTAAAACAAACACTTACCTGGTTTTGAATCATCACATACTGTATCAGATACTACTACTGATGTGTTTTTGAGTCCTTCAAATGTATCCACATAGAAATATTTGTCTTCTGAACCAGCCATGCCCAAAAGCTCACCAGAATTTGCGTCTTTTATCCCAACAGCATAGATAATAATCCCCTTGTCTCTTAATCTCTTGGCTGTGTCATTGAGCTGTGCGGTATCATGGGAGACACCGTCTGTTATCACTATAAGAATCTGGGGAACTCCCTTGTCTTTGCGGCTACCATGCTCCTTAGCAAATAGAGATTCTGCGTAGGCAATTGCCTTGGCTGTATACGTTGAGCCTCCTCGAGATGTGTCTTTCTGGATAGCCTCCACAATCTTGGATTTTGCATTGTACTCGTTAAGGTAGAAAAGCATTGTTGGTTCATCAGAATATTTTACTGCTCCAAATTGAACTCTGTCTGGAGCGACATCAGATTTTTTTACCAAAGTGATCATGAACTCTTTCATGGTCTCGTACTGTTCGCGACTTATGCTTCCTGATTCATCTATCACAAACACAACGTCTAATCTTTCTATCCTTTTGCACTCTGTAAAAAAACAAAGGACAAAAAAAAAACCCAACAAAGAAGTTCAAAGAGGTAAGTAAATACTGATTTTTACTGAACCCTTCTTACTAGCCCTTTCCATTCAAGCAAAGCTTGTGAATTTGGATCACTTTTTGGTGGCAGTAACACAACTGAACATCCTACGTTAGGCATGTTTTTGGGAAATCCACCCGTCCATAACTGAAGAGCCTAACCACTAATCCTAAAATAACTGGTGGGTTCAATTACATCTAAAATCCAGAGAGGCAGGAGAAAGGAATGAATAACAACATAACAGAATGGGATCAGGCCAGAGGTTTATAATGACTTCTTGTGCCCTTTAAAACCTATGAATATGTATTCTAATAGAATACAAGCACTAATTAAAAGCTTTTGTTTCCCACAAAAACTTATTTTAAAATTGTTTTTGGAGCAAAGTCAAATTACTGTGGCCCTAGTTATACAATCACCATTCACAGTTTTATGTTCTGATTACTAATGGAAATGAGCCAAATTCTGCTGCCATTTGCATCCATGCAACAGCACTGAAATGCATGGAGATCCACCAGGCATCAATGATAATTTTGCTATTTTGTGCTTAGGTCTATTGCAATATTTTTGTTCTGTGTAAGAAAGATGTTCAGTTCGGAGGCTGAGGCCCTGCCATCCCTGCACAGCCCCCAAGAGCCTATGCTGCTGTGACCAAAAGGGACTGACTGGGACTTTTGTGAAGCCCATTAGAACTATAGGTTGCACGACCCAAAACCGGGACTCTTCCGTCTGGCAACATCCGTGGTCCTACCAGACCACTGATGTTCCTAAATGAGAGCGCCATGGAGCAGGAGGGCCAACAGCTGAGAGCCCTGTGCACAGTGAGGCTGGTGGTAATGGGGCCCCGGCTCAGCAGCCCAGCAGCAGTAGTGGGGTTGTGATAGTGAGGCAGTGGCAGCCTGGCAACCCAGCTATGGCCGGGACAGCCCAGGCATGTCAGCCTGGCAGCAGGGCTGGTGCCGTAGCAGCCCAGTCGGGGCTGTGTGCTGGCTAGCAGTGGGGCTGGTGCCACCGCTGCAACTTAGCTGGGACCAGGGCAGATCAGGTAGGGCCATGTGCCACCTAGCAGTGGGGTTGGTGCACGCTGTCATACCAGCAACGGGGCACGGGCAGCCATGTCACCCAGCCAGCAGTGGGTCAAAGGAGCTGGTGGCGGGGGAGGAGAGGCAGGCTGGGGTTGCTGGTGGCAGGAGACCTTCCCTGCTCCAGCAAATTCTTTCATCCAGGTCTGCTAGGTTTACAGGATATTTTGAAAAAGCCTGCCCTTTTCAAAAGAACTGTGTCTGGACCACGGTTTTACTTTCACAATGGAGCTTTTTCGATATAATGCCATGACTGGATTATGCAAATGAAGTGCGGGAAATTCAAATCCTGGCTTGATTTGCAATTTCAAAGTATATAATTTACATCCCTCTGTTGAAAGAGGGATGTAATCTAGACACAGCCTTAATGTGAGACTCTGCTATTCATATCCTGTCTTTGTTGTACATTAAGCTTAATTTGCATGTTTTATTTACTGGGTAATCTGTTTTGATCTGATCGCTATCTCTTACAACCACTTAAAATATATCTTTCGTAGTCAGCAGTGGCCTGAGGAGGGCTGCGGCAGCTGGCGCCCCAGGCGGAAGACGCGATCCCACGCAGAATCTGCGATCGGCGCCCTCGCCTGCACGGCCGTCAATGGGCCATCAATGGGGTGATGTCATCATCGGGCGCCCCGGGCGCCCTGTGACGTCATCATCGGGCACCGTTGAAGGCGGCGCCCTAGGCGGCAGCCAAGTCGGCCTATAGTCACAGGCTGCCCCTGCCCACCCCTGTTTTAACAGATGTGTCTTGACTCCTTCATTTCAGTGAGTGAACTGAACATAAGTCAGTGGGGGGCAGGAGAGGGGGCAAACTCTATGAACTTAGGCTGGACAGTTCCCTGTGCAGTGCAAGAGCGTATAATTTTGGGTTTATTCTCCAGAGTAGGGGTGTGCCTGGGGAGCTTGGCATTGCTGTGGCTCTTGCCTTTCTATTGTTGTTTCAGGCAGAGAACGTCCATATAACTGCAGCTGGGTGTGTCCCTATCTAGTAGTTAAATTCCTAGATTGTCATTGCTCGTGAAAAGTGCTGTCATATGGGTGGAAATTGGGTAAATAATGCATTTTATTATTATTAGCAGAACTGACTTAAATGGGGCTTGTGTGTTGTGTGGTCTTGCCTTAATCTTTGTATTCATTCCCGTCAGTGTAAAAGATGCTGTTTGCATATATATTTGCGTGTATATATACCATACTTGAGTTGCGGCCCTCAGCATGTGCGGTGAATATAATTGTGGCCCCGATGTCTTCCAAAGTTGAGTAGCCCTGGTCTAGAAGGTACTGAAAAAAAAGGAACTAACCGGGGCCGAAAAACAAAAATAGCAGCAAAACTTGAGGGGGAGGCTGACTGGGGGATGGGGGGGGGTCACCCTGCCTAGTGGCCATGCCTCCCAGTTTGGGAACCCATGGTGTAAAGGGAGCCCAAACTGGTAGGTCAGTGGCTTAGAGGTAGCCCAGTTCCAGGTGACACCGCAGGGGAAACATGTCACACTCAGTTCTTGTGAGTCTTCATTTCCACACAGTCCTGGACTGGTTTCCCACCCCCTTCAAAATGAATAGCACGTGGTTCTCTCTACCATTTTCATCTGTCTATACACAGTCCTAGAAAATCAGTTTCCAGTGCTGTATTGTGGCAGAATGGATAGGGGCCAGACTACGTGTCTCTGTGTATTTCTCTATCTTCCAGACCATTCAGGGTTCCTGGGTAAATGAGCACTACCAAATCTATGAGGCAAAAAGAGTGCCCATTTTTACTTTCATTGACATGTGTACAACTTCTATGATTTCAACAGAAGTTGCACCCTTGTAAAGGAGGGCAGAACTAGGCCATTAGTGTAAACAAAATACAGGACTATGCAGCACTTTAAAGACTAACAAGATGGTTTATTAGGTGATGAGCTTTCGTGGGCCAGACCCACTTCCTCAGATCAAATTGTGGAAGAAAATTGGCATGACCATATATACCAAAGGGATGCAATAAAAAAAAAGTGAACACATATAAAATTGACAAATCAGATTTTAGAACAGAGGGGAGCAGGGGGAGGGGAGAGGTTAGTGTCTATAACATAATGATATTAGGGGTGATAATTGGGGAAGCTATCTTTGTAATGGGTAAGATAATTAGCATCTTTATTAAGACCCATTCGTAAAGTGTCAAATTTAAGCACGAATGACAGTTCTGAGTCTTCCCTTTGTAATCTTGTGTTAAAGTCCCTTTGAAGCAGGATGCATGTAGTCAGATCATTGAGACAATGTCCAGTCTGGTTGAAATGGCAAGCAACTGTTTTTTCTTTGTGAAACTGTCTGATGTCTGTTTTGTGTGCACTGATTCGTTGGCGAAGTGTCTGAGAAGTTTGTCCAATATATATAGCAGATGGACACTGTTGGCACATGATGGCATAAATTGTATTTCTGGATGAACAGGAATATGTGTTCTTGATCTTGTAACTAACATAGTTAGGTCCAATGACTGCGTCAGAAGAGTAAATATGTGGCCAAAGCTGGCAATGGGGTTTGTTGCAAGGGAAAGTTCCAGGGTTGGTATTAGTGTGGTATGTCCTGTTGGTAAGAATCATCCTGAGGTTAGGTGGTTGTCTATAGGGTATGTCTAAGACTTCATGGCTCCATTGACGGAACCGTGTAGATGAGGTTTCTAGACATAGGGAAATGAAGTGGCGATTTAAATAATTGCCACTTCATTTACATCAAAATGGCTGCCACGCTGTGCCAATCAGCTGTTTGGTGGCACAGCGAGGTAGTTTGGACACTCTGCGGTCAACAAAGGAAGCCCTTTTCAACCTCCCGTGGAATGAGGTTTACTGGGGCAGTCGACAAGGGTTTCCCTTGTCAACCGCGGAGCATCCAGATTACCGTGCTGTGCTGCCAAACATCTGATTGGCACAGCGCGGCAGCCATTTTGATGTAAATGAAGCAGCGATTATTTAAATCACCGCTTCATTTCCCTTTTTCGAGTACACTAATCTACATGGCTCCGTTGACGGAGCCATGTAATTCAGATGTATCCTAGGAGACTATGGATCTCTCTCCCAGAGCCTCTCGGAGTGTAGTATCCTGTTCCAGTATAGGTTGTAGTTTATTGATAATGGGTTGGACAGGTTTAAGTTGGGGACTAAAGGTGATGACAAGTGGTATTCTAATGCTGGTTTTCTTGGGTCTGTCTTGACGTAGATGGTTTCTGGATATTTGTCTGGCTCTTTCAATTTGTTTTTTTATTTCTCCGGGTGGGTAATTGAAGTTTATAAATGGTTGGTAGAGATCCTGAAGTTTCTGGTCTCTGTCAGTGGGATTAGAGCAGATTCCACACTAATAACAACCCTGGAACCTTCCCTTGCAACAAATCCCGTTGCCAGCTTTGGTATATATGGTCATGCCACTTTTCTTCCACAATTTGATCTGAGGAAGTGGGTCTGGCCCATGAAAGCTCATCACCTACTAAACCATCTTGTTAGTCTTTAAAGTGCTGCATAATCCTGTGTTTTGTTTCAGCAAAACCAGACTAACATCTCTTTACTATTAGTGTAAACAAGAATTAGTCCCATGGATGTTTGACATTGTCAGAATACCACAAAGAACCCTGAGAACAAGCGAGAATCAGATCCTTAGTCTTTTCTTATACACATCAATATACATATTTTTAAAATATGACATTTAAATTAATTGTTTGAGAGAATATAGCATCTTTGAAAGCTAGTCAGAGAGATCTCCTAGTACCATGAACCAAACTCTACCTTAATTTTCTCACACAAATCTCATCTCTATAGACATCGTTAAGAAAAGTCAGCACTGCAAGCAGAAAGCACTCCTTTTTGTTTACTCTATTACAATTCTCAACTATCAAGACAAGACAAGACAAAATTCCTACAGAGACACGGATGACATGATTTAAAAACTGCAGTACTTACCTTCAGAGGGACTGCATATTCCAAAGATGAGCTCATCTTCTATATGCTTCAAAATATCAAACTTCTCAACATAAAAAACCAGCTCACGCTTCCCACTAATTTCTTCTAGCTGAGTTTTATTTGCATTAAATACCCCAACAGAGAAGATGACGACACCTTGATTTTGTAGCTTTTCTGCTGGAGATTTTACTTCATCCCCTGCCACCCCATCTGTAATCAGGATAAGAAACTTTTTGACACCAGGACGTGCACCCTTGGAAGGCTTGAAATAATCAGACACGAATGTCAATGCGCCTCCTGTTAGTGTAATGTCCCCCATGAGTGACATTCCATCAATAGCACTGAAAATATCACTTTTAGAAGAGTATCGGTTAAGCTGGAATTCTTCCTGGTTTGTGCCGCTGAACTGGACGACCCCAACCTGCACTCGGTCTGCACCAATGTCAGATTTCTTCACCAGTTCTTTCATAAAGCTTTTCATTTTCGAAAAGTTGTCTTGCCCTATGCTTCCAGAACTGTCCACTAGGAACATGATGTCAGCTCTCATTTCTCTGCAGGCTGCAGAAGAAAACAGACGTATATTAGTATAACTCAGTTGGTACATTACAATAAATAAATAGACTTAACGGGGTAGAATGATTTGGTAGGGTTCCTAGGCATCCAGTTTTTGAATGGAATGCCTGGTCAAAAAGGGACCCTGGTTGGCTCTGGTTATTAAAAGTCAGGTCAGTGCCACAGTAGGGACCTGGAGCTGAGGCAGGCTCCCACCTGCCCTGGCTTTGTGCAGCTCCTGGAAGTGGCTGCCAGGTCCCTGTGGCCCCGAGGCACATGTGTGGCCAGGGAGGCTCTGCGTGCTGCCCCTGCTCAAGCACCAGCTCTACAGCTCCCGTCAGCCAGGAACCATGAGCTGCGGGATGGTGCCTGTGGGTACAAGGAACATCCCAGGAAACCCATGTACCTAGGGGCCACAGGTTACCTGGTGGCTGCTTTTTGTGAGCTTTGGTAAATGTCACCTGGATCCCACATTCCAACCTCCTCCCCCAGCCCACAGCCCCCCTCTTTCCCCCGTCATCCAAACTCCCTCCCAGAGCCTGAACCCAACATTCCACTCCCAGTCCCCTGCTCAGCTCTAAGACTCCTGCTCCCCAACCCACATTCTCAGCCCCACCCCAGAGCCTGCCCCCAGCTAGAGCCCTCTCCCCACCCCAGTCCCCTGCAGTGGAGGCCCAAAACATTAGCATGCCCCAGGCTCTGGGAGCGCAGCACTCCTCCCCCCGGCATGCGGCACATGTGCGTCACCATCCCGGGGCGTGCGGCGCATACATGGTGCCATCCCTGCCCGGCCAGGCAGCCCCGTGCAGTAGCCTGCCTTGCCCATACCTCGGGCTGGACCTGATCCCCTGCCTCAGTCCAGAGCCTTCTCCCACAACCTGAGCCTCTCATTTCTGGCCTGCATTCCAGCCAAAGTCTTCATCCGCCCATACTGGAACCCCCTGTTCCAGCCTAGAGCTTTCACCCTGAACCTTTATGCCAAGCCCCATGCCAGAGTTCACACCCCCAGTTGGGGTGTGTGGTTGAAAAGGGCAGGGGAGGGGCGGGCAGGAAAGGGCAAGGCCTCAGCAGAAGGGGCAGAGCTTCAGCAGAAGGGGTAGGGCAGGGGCGGGCAGGAAAGGGCAAGGCCTCAGCAGAAGGGGCAGAGCTTCGAAGCACACCACGTGGGAGGGGCGGCAGGAAAGGGCAAGGCCTCAGCAGAAGGGGCAGAGCTTCAGCAGAAGGGGTAGGACTGGAGGTGGGTTTGGGGTATGCCTCCCCAAGCCCTGCCTTCACCATCTGCGGTTTATTGTCTGAGCCATTTCCAGTTCTTTACAGAAAAAGATTCAGTGGTTCACAAATCAAAACAGACAAAAGATTCAGGGATTTACAGCTACTGGGGGGAGGAGCGACTGCACCCCCTACTTGCTACACTCACCACCCTGCCCTCCTCTGGCCTCTAAACTTGCCATCCCCCCCCTCTGGCCACTACATGAGCCAAGCCCACCTGCCCCATGACTGCTATGCTCACCACCCTCTTCCCCCTCGGCCACTACACACATCAACCTCTCCCACTCTGGCTGCTACACCCTACCACCAGACTGCTCCTGCACCCTTCCTCCTGACCAGACACCCTACGCTCAGCCTGCTCCTGCACTCTCCCTCCTGGCCGAACTCTGCACCCTCAGCTCCTCCTGCACACCACCTCCCACCCAGATCCTGTACACCCATCTCTATCCCACTCACTAGCAGAGGCAGGGGGGGCATGTGGAACGGGGGAGGCCACAGGGTTCCTGCCTCCCTGGAACACTGGGGAGAGGGGAGGCCGTGTGGCTGAGAATGGAGGTGGATGGTGGCGGCATGAGGATGCAGATGATATGATGACACCACTCTGACATCTCGCAGAAAAAATTGTTTATATCCATGGAGAGGGAGAGATAAGCATATGACTTCAACATTCTAATACTGCACCTGTCAATCACAAACACCAACTTTACATATCTCACTGTCAGAGAATTTAGCCTACACTTATTTTCCTTATTCTTTGTGTGTGGGGTATGTGTGGGGAAGGAGTCTGTAAGACTATGTTGCTCAGTAGCCTTTGAAGACAATGAACTTAAATGTCACTGTAAACTGAGAGTAGAGTTAATGCTCTGTTGGCATCAGAACAGTTGATGACACACATTTATACTGGGGACAACAGCAACATAACATGAAAAGTTGGAAAACATACTACTTAATGTAGGACTACCCCCTTCAGATGAAAAGCCAGCTTGTTAGTTACACAGTTGAGGAAAAAAAGGAAGAATGAAAAGCAGTGTTTTGATGCTCTGACAAACTAAAAAAGCAAGAGCATTTTTATTTGAAGTATACGTTGAACATATTCATAAGAGATATATTAAAAAAAGAAAATGGCGTCACTTTTAACTGCCTTGCACAGAAAGACACCTCATATGCAAATGTGCCCTAAATACAGTGATACACTTTCGTTATTCAGGAAGGAGAAATAGGCTTATGTTTTGAACTTGAAATTGTAAAAGGACAGGAGGTCCTGAATTTAGTTAGCGCTCTGAGGTATCAAAATCAATTTTTCCCTTACCTTCCCCAGTACAGATCCCTTGAACAATTTCATTTTTTATGGTTTTCAAGGCATCAAACTCTTGCACAAAAAAAGTCCTGCTCTTTGACCCTGCAATCTCATGCAGCTGTTCTTCATTTGCACCTTTAACACCTACAGCATAAATATTGATCTTCTCATTCCTCAGCTGCTCAGCAGGCTCCTTTACACTGTCATGTGACTCCCCATCTGTTAAGACAATGAGGTAACAAGGCACCCCACCAGGTCGCTGGTTCCTTGCCTCTTTAAACAGTGGCTGCATGTAGGTGAGAGCTTCTCCAATATAGGTATCCCCGTATATTTGCCTAATGTTGTCAATGGCTTTCTCTAAATCATCTACTGTTTTTTTTTCATTAATTTCAAACTCCTGATCAATGATGTGCGAGTACTGCACAGCTCCAAAACGAACTTTATTCGGTCCTATGTTAAACATCTTAATCACGTCCTTCAAAAAATCTTTGATCTGTGTGAAGTCAGCAGGATGAATGCTTGTTGAGCCATCAATGAGCAAATAAATATCAGCTTCCTCTGTGTCCATACATCCTATATGGAAAAAGAAATTGTATTCCAAATTAACGTGGGTACAAAATGTAAAGAGAGAAACATGGAGAGAATCACCAAAGCATATAGGCATGTATTTAGGGCCCAGAGTCAGCCAGTGTTTACACAATAACATATGTTTTGAACACACCTATGGTGCATTTCCACAGTGGCAGAAAATAGAGTGAAGTTAACCAGGCACAAGGAGGCTGTAACCTCAATGTAAAGTAATAATGGTTGAGAAATTCTGGTTACTTACCTTATGATAATTGGAGTTCTTCAGGGTGTGTGATCCCTAGTTGTAAAACAACTTAAGTGCACACGCACTCCATATGCCTAAAACCTGAAAAAAATGTTCCACGGCAGTGTCTCTTAATCTGCACCTATATCCTTCACCTTCTTATGCTCCAAGTAAAGGGCATAAGGGGTCATGTAGACTGACCACCTATTCGGTTTCTTCTCTACCATGACCAACCCAAGGAAGGGCTCAGAAGCAGAGCGGAAGAAGGGTGGGTGGTGGAATAAAGATCAGTACCAAACATCTAGAACTACACCAGTTACTATAAAGTTAAGTACCCAGCATTTCTTCAAGTGGTGTCTGTGTATTCCACTCAAGGTGACTCACAAGCAACACTGAGTGTGGAGGGCACAGGGAATCCTGCAATCTGAAAGGATGCACCTGCTGAAGAGACTCATTCTAGGGCAGAATGCCTAATTAAATTGTGCACAGGGTTCTATGTTGCCAGTCTACTGATCTCCAGAAGGGGAACTCCAAGAAGCAAAGATACAACCTGATACAACCTGAATTCTGGCTGAATGAGCACTCTCATCTTACGTCAGAGGGGACACCATCAACTCACAGCTTGATACAACTTAAAAATCAATTTTGAAAATTCTTCTGAGGAGGCTGCTTCCCCTTTTTATGCTTTTGACAAAGGAGACAAATATTTGGAGATTTTCTGAAGGGTTTTGTCGTCCGTAGGTAGAATGCTCAGGCTCACTCAACATCCAGGCTACATCTGCATTGCTTCCTTCTTCCACAAGAGCCTATGCAAATGAAGCATACATTAGCATATTGCCACACTTCATTTGCATAATTAGGAAACATTTTTGCACAAGAGGTTTTTGTGCAAGAGCCGTTCTTCCTCATTTTTTTAGGAAGAACAGCTCTGGTGTAAGAGGGGGTTTTGCGCAAAAGGGAGCCATATACACAGCTCCTTTTTGCACAAAAGCCTCTTGTGCAAAAATGGCCCCTAATTAATTATGCAAAGGAAGCATGCCAATATCCTACTCCATGCTGCACTTGCATAAGTTTTTGCAGCACTAGGGTGCAGTATAGATATAGCCCCTGATAATGGAGCTCCCTGTCTTTTCTGGTGGCATAATATTTTGGGTGGAAAATAGCTAGGTGTATGACATGATTTAAATAGCTTTCTGAGGGAATATATAAAACAAATTTCATCTTTATGGAAGACCATGTAGGAGAATCTACCATAAGGGCCCCTAGCTCACCTGGTCTTCTGGCAGAGCTCTCTGCATTACCTAAAAGTGAATCTGGTACTGGATACAGCAACCGATCAGAAATAGTCAAGAAGGATTCACCAAGGACAAGTCATGCCTGACCAATCTGATTAGCTTCTATGATGAGGTAACTGGCTCTGTGGATGTGAAAAAGTTACTGGATATGATGTACCTTGACTTTAGCAAAGTTGTTGATATGGTCTCCCACAATAATCTTGCCAGCAAATTAATGAAGTATGGATTGGATAAATGGACTGTAAGATGGAAAGAAAGCTGGCTAGATTGTCAGGCTCAACAGGTAGTGATTAACTGCTCAATGTCAGTTTAGGGGTCGGTTTCTAGTGGAGTGCCCCAAGGATCACTTCTAGGGCCGGTTTTGTTCAACATCTTTAATGACCTGGATGAGGGGATGGATTGCATCCTTAGGGTACGTCTAGACTACATGCCTCTGTCACCAGAGGCATGTAGATTAGGCTACCCGACATAGTAAAATGAAGCGACGATTTAAATAATCGCCACTTCATTTAAATTTACATGGCTGCCGCGCTGAGCCGACAAACAGCTGATCAGATGTTTGTCGGAGGTTTACCTGCCTGGGTGGTCGACAAATACCTTTGATGTCGACACCCACGCGTCCAGACTATCCCCCCACCACGA